TGGAGTAGATGAATCTGAAGAGTGGATACTTATTCTCTTCAGAGGACAATTCGATAGCATTATCACAATCATCAATAAATGCGTTAAGTTGGTTCCTTTCTCCGGAAAAGAAATTAGGAACTAGACTACACAAGAAATCAAGGGGTATTTGGGATGGGTTGAAAAGTTTAGGCATTGTTCACAAAATGAGTAACCTATTACTACTACTTACAATATAAAGAAATTCTGATAAAGAGTTAAAACCCACCAACATGAAACGAATTACTTAAGAATTCTCCGGTTTCTTGTCGTTCAGAATGATCCTACCGACTGCGCCAAAATTTTAATATGTTATATTCGGTTCGTTCTTTATTTTTGTAAGTAATGAACAAGCACTTAAAACTATCACAAAACTAATATTAATAAACAAGAACTTATTACAGCTAGACTAAAAATCAAAATGAACCGACGCCAAGCTGTGTAGCTTGCCTATATTACTTTGGTCTTTCGTCAGTCAACTGTTTCGAATGTTCGAGCAAACACTTGCAAATAAAATAAAAGAAGGAGTCTTTAGAAGCTTCGCTTCTAAAGAAGAACAATTTGAGTTCGTCGCCAGTCTTTTGTTTATAAAAAGTTGAAAATGTGAATATTGAGTACGGGATCATAACAGTATATATTTATTTGAGTGCACGTACGAGCGAACGCACGCACGCACGCACGCACGTACGAACGCTTGCACGAGCGCGTAGTCGTGATTAAATTTCATTTTTGTATTTCCCGTTCTCCCGTCCGTTCCTCACTCTCCCCTCTCCCTTTCCCTCCCGCATTTTTGTATTTTTCAAATCGAATTTGTCTCGCCGAAACATTTTTTTTTTCGGGAGATGTTTGTTTTATGCATTTCGTAAATCGGGAATAATTTTTATGGATTTATTTGTTTCAGACATGTTACGAAATGGAACGGTACCTAAAAGATGAGCCAAAGCTTCAGTCGTACAAAAAACTACCGACGGAATTAGATTCGTGGAATATAATAGGTCCACCGGGCGTTATGGCAACGAGTTGGGAAGTAACAAAAGTCGAAGTCGTGGATCCATTGTTACAATTGGACGAATTACGTTTGAAAGATAAAAATGTAGATAATGTTGTTAGTAGTAGTGGTATGGGTTCGGGAAGCAGCGGGTGTAGTCGTATTTCGTGGGACACTTCCCTTAGTTGTGCCGTAGTCGTTAAACAAGAGCCGACGGATCGCGACGAAGATGAAGAATACGAGGATCTTTTCGAAACGACACACATAAATGTTAAAACCGAACCCGGGGAAGGACAGACGATGTTGACTCCTCCGTCAGCCCTGAAAGTGGTCAGCACAGCAGTAGCAGTAGCAGTAGTCAAGATTTAAATCTCATACTCGTCGCGCTTTTCTTCAGCTACAAATTCTCCGTGCGTGACGCATC